TATGGATTTTTCGGCTGCATCCAAGGGAAGTTCCTAATAATCTGTTACTTTCATGAGATTTCCTAAAAGCTGAGTCTCATAGGTATCTGCACCCTATGGATTTCCCTAAGGTTGTGTCCAAGGAAAGCAACTACTAATATGATATTCTACTAATAAGAGAATTAACTGAATACATATATGCATGTCATTTAATTGTTAACTGAAATACATTATGTCATGCTCTAATAGTATATGCACAACATATCACTGAAACCATTACTCTAATGAATTATGGTGTAACACACAAGGGGACTAACCCTAAGGTCCAAAAATTTACTTGATGTAGACTTCCAGAAACTGCTCTGTTACACTGCAACTGACTTGATCAACCAAATTCCACACCAAACAACCTAATGTAAATGTGGAAACATGATCAAATACTAATTTTAACACATGATATACCAAGTTTTTGCTTAAACATCATCACAATCTTATAAAAATTATGAAAATATCTTATAAAAAATTTGAACAATTTCAATATATCATCTTAGTAGGCTTGATAGGCTAGGAAGGCTGGACCAGGACATGTATTTTTAAAAAGATCAGGTTTGGCCAATATTTTAGTTTTACGTAGGTCTAGCCTATTTAGATTAAAAATAAGACTCATTTATACATTGATTTAAGACCCTAATATAATAAAATTGAATATTTTTATTATTTGATAATTATAATTTTTTATACAATGAAATAAAAAATAGAAAGACAAAAAGGAATAGAAATAGAAAGCTCTTAGTAGGTTTGAGCATGCCTAGCTAACACCACACCCCTACAATCATCTTGTAAATGACATTATATCCCTGGGGGAGGATTAGAAAAATGGGTCTCATCAGGTAACTCCAAATGCACCAACAAATAATTTGTTAACTAATCCGCACACTAATTGTCTTTCCTGAGAACATGCACAAACTGAATATTCCATTTGCGACAAAAAATGCTCGTATTCAAGTAACTAGGTGAGTCTCACGAGTTTTATTTCCTTCCTTAGAAAATAATGCAATGACTATTTGACAATCACTTTAAACCAAAATATTTCTCCATCCTGCCTCCCAAACTTGCTCCAGCCCTTTTAGTACTCCCTATAATTCAACCTGTAAAGTAGAGCATTGGCCTAGTCTTACAGCAAACCCCCTAGCCAAGCACCTCTCGTGTCACGAAGAAGACCGCCACAAGATGCTAAAGCCAAATAACCCTTTGAAGCCTCATTTATGTTTAATTTCACAAACAGATATGAAGGGGGTTGTCAGCTAACATCCAAAGTGAAAGGATGTCTCGGTCTTGGCGTTGTGTCCATGAAAGCAACATGTATCTCCTTCAAACAATCAAGGATTGGACGAGCAAGATGGTGATCCCTATTAGGTGAACTATGATGCACAACTTCATTCCTCCAGTGCCCAGTATACCAACAAAAAACAATAAATAAAGAACTCCAAGTAATCTCTCCCAATATAATGTCATCATAATTCCAATTATCAAACACCCAATCATCCCAAGTGGCTTCAAAGAAATGAACTAGTCTATCATATGGCAAGAAAATATACCATAAATCACGGATGACCAAGCAATACCAGAAAACATAAATCAATGTCTCCTTATACTGCTGACAAACCAGATAGTGTGGATCAATCGATGACCATGAACTAGTCGAATATCTGGTAGGCAAACTCTTATGTACTAGCCTCCAGAAAAATACTTGCAACTGCAGAGGCCCTTTCCATTTGCGCACCTTGTTCCATACCTCTCTAGAGAAAATGCTAAGTTGAAAAGATTGCTTTGCAATATATAAATAACAATTACTGACCTTTATAATAGTCATACTATCCAATAACTAGAAACTCTTATCAGGTCCGTCATGCATAACATGAGCGAGTAAACCTCAAGTTTTTGCCATCATCTCCAAATCAAACAACTGTTACAGCAGATTGAACTTCCACATTTCATCCTGGCTAACCATTTGATTGAGACGACAGTCCCTCAAATCATCAAGGATATTGCATCGAACGTGGTCCAAAAGGCAAATAGAAGAGTCGACCCACTTATCCTTCCAGAAAGAGATTGTATCTTTATCTCCAATTTCCCAAACAATGCAATCTTGCATATTCAACATGATATTGCACAATGCCTTCCAAAAAGGAGAAGAATCGGCTTTAAGGAACTTGGCCCACCTACACCTTATATTTACCGTACAACACATGGGTCCAAAGAGAGTTAACATCATTTTGAATACGCCAAGCACATTCCATTAAAAAAGCATCGTTCATCAAGGTTGTTTTCTTCCGGCCAAGTCCACCCATCTCTTTCGAAGTAGTAAGGGTATCCCATCCCACCGTATGGTGTGACCTATGCTGCTGAGTATCCTCCCAAATAAAATCTAATCTAATTCGGTCTAACTCATTACAAATTTCTTGGGGCAATCTAGGATCCTGCATATGAAAATAAGGGATGGTAGATATAATCGACTTCACCAGAGTTACTTTCCTCCCCTGAGAGAGGCATCTTTGCTGCCAACCGCCAAGTTTATGGCGGACCTTCTCCACAATATGCTGGTAGTGTTGTTTAGTGGCCCTGCAGTAGCGCCCTATATTCTGAACCTTTTTAAATCGGCTTCTAGCTACCAAAGTAGATGCCAATTCCTCTAGTGTATTTGGTGAAAAATATATACTTGTCTTGGCAATACTTAACTTCAATCCTAAAATCTCTTCATACAACAAGAGACACTTCAACAAAATATCCATCTGATCCTTGCTCACATCAACAAATAATAATAAATCATCAGCGAACAATAAATTAGAGATTGGGGGACCACCTTTTCCCACCTTAATAGGGTCCCATATCCCTATATTACCAGTCGTGCAAGCCAAAGTAAACAAATTTAAAACCAGAGGATTTCTCTTTTTCTATCTCAATTTTTCTGGGTTTTTTTCATCGTATCATGATCCAAACGCAAACTATTTTTTTCATTTGACAAAATCATTCTGGAAATTGTCCTTTTTCTTAATCTGATCCAAACGTGCAATTAGTCATGTCAAATGGATCCTAACCCTTTGCAAATGTTATTCTTCGTTTATTCAAAATTATTACCCCTTAGCTTTCAAGATATATCAAAATACTGATATTTATTTAAAAATATTTTTTTAATGCTGATTCAAACGTAAAATAATTTTTTGTGTTGAAAGAAATCCCTTTTATAAAAGGTAATACATGATTCTCCAAAAAAAGAAAAGAAAAAAAAAGAAGTAATACATGAAAAGGTCTCTCTTTTATCATAATTTGTCGTGTAATGGACCCAAATCATTTGCAAAGGCAGCAAAATTATGATAAGAGTCATAAGTCGACGAGAGGGTCTAGAAGAGTGGACCCAAACCACTGCAAGTCCACATATAAAACACAGCAAAGGCAAATTGGTTACACAAATAATAGGCAACACCGAACGAGAGGCTCTGGAAGTCCGCATATAACCCTACCCCATATTTATTTGATAGATAAACAAGGTTTAATGCCCGTTCCTGTTTTGACTTCTGTGACACTTAGCTTGCATGTTTAGTACTATATGCTAGCTGTTCTATCTACCATACTTAAATGCTTGGTGTGCTTAGTGTAAATAGTACTATTCCTCGTTTTAACTTATGAGTAGAGGTGACAAAGTGGGTGGCCCGGCTCACTCTGTTTATCTCGTCATCAACTCGACAAAAAATGAGTCAATTCTTTGCACTAAGTGGGCTGAAAAACTCAGTTCGTCCCGTCCCGTTTGATGGGTTGGGCGGGTTGGCCCGCCAGCCCAAGCCTATTTTATACTGATCCGCCTCGGCCCGCTTATACCTGTCATCAATCCGCCAAAAAATGAGCCCGTCCCGTCCCACTTTTGAGATGAGTTGAAAGACTCAACCCGTCCCACCCCATTTAACGAGTTAGGCGACCCGTCGAGCCGAGTCCATTTTGCCGGATCTACTTATGAGTGCCTTGCCAAATGGACTTGTTGACTGGTTATATTATATCTATACCATCTTGTCTTACTAAGTTGATGTGAGCTGTTAATTTACGTCACTTAGGCTTCCTGAAGAAAAAGTCGCGCCCGCCTTATCTACTAATTATAAAATTTGTCTTAATTATAAGTCAACCGTTTCTTCAACCTACCTTCTACCTTTCACACAGTGGCGTATTCAGCAAAAATAAAAGATTAAAGTGTTATTAGGACTAATAGAGGATCATTATTATAAGTGTATTTGGCAGAGGAACTAATTATTAAGGCTAATAATCTATTATTATTTACAAAAATATTAATTTATACATATAATAATATAAAAAATAATAAAAATTTAGAGAGACAACCTTCAATCCTCACCCTTCCTTTGGATTCGCCCCAGTTCCCACTAGAGTTTCTTAAGCAACCTAATCCTCCCTGAACACTATTATAATAAATAAATTCAATATTATAACTTAATCCAAAACTTTCAGGTATTGAGTTTATGAATTATTTCACATGGATTCCAAACTAACGTGTGAGATTTTACTAGTCAGTTGAATTCTATAATAATAAAAACATTCTCCCATGCTAACCGTGTGTAAGTTGAAACTTGGTACAGGCCAAAGACTGGTTATTTTAATAACTATAGATAGACCAGCAAGCTGGCAGAGACTCATCTTTTCATAGCAGTCATCCAACATCAAATTTGAGATTGAAAAATTGAAAACATGGGAGGAACATGTGTGGCATTTAATGACTTATTAGATTTAGAGGCTTAGAAATCTATTTATAAATTGTAAAACATTTTTTCTTTTTAAATAAATTCAGTAAATCCTCTCATGAGTTATTTTGAAAATACCTTGGGTTTTCTAGTAACAAAAATAATAAAGAGAACTGATCACTGATCAGTAAACAAAGAGAAGCAAATATAACTCCATAAAACAGATAAGCAAATACAGAAAATGGATTTGAACTTAACTTAATATTGAAGAATTGTCCATGAGGCCAACATCCAAGATATAGAAACTGATTGAAATGTAGATAACAAGTTTTATTGGAAATTACCCAATAAACTAAAAGGTAAGAAAAAAAGTATATAAGATTTGGAAGCAAATTCTGTTCTAACTCTTGAGCCTAGAATTTCACTCTAGAACTCCAGAGATTGCAGATGATGATGACTTTGAATAGCGTTCAAGCAATGATAGTACCCTGGCAGCCTTTCTCCTTAGATGGCCATCTCCATATATATTCATGCCAGTGAGACTAACTAGACGTAATCTAGCAGTTGTTCCATAGTATTCAACCATTTCCTTTGAGACAAACACCTTCTCCAATAGTCCTAGTGCTTCAGCCTTGAGAGAATCAGTTCCCCAATTCAAAACTTCCAATAAGGGTCTCATTGCATTTGACTCATGCAAGACACGAGCTCCCCTGTGAGGAAAGTCTTCCAAAACCAATGTGGAAAGTGTTTGAATAGCTTCATAAGCAGTTGCATGAACCTCTCCATGTAACAGCTTTATCAAGCCAGGCAAAGCATTTGCTTCCAATAGACAAAATGTGGAAGTCACACTGCATACACTCCCATGTGCTGAACATAAAGGGACCCTTGATGATATAAAACACCAGCAACCATTTGATTTGGAAACAACTGTGAGCTTTGGAGTGCTCATAGAAAGATCACCAATGAATGCTGCTGCTCTTGCCTTTGCTGTTACTGAACCAGTATTGAGAAAATTCACAAGCAAAGGATATATTCCTCGTTTAACCAAATCGCGCTGTGACTCGATATTTGTAGGATCTGTAAACCTGAAGAGTGCACTTAGAGCATTTTCTTTTGCTTCCATTGTACCATTTTTCAAAATGCTTATGATTGCATCAAGGCCACCCAAGTCAATCAATTTCATAGTGAGTTCTCGTTCTGATTTTGGAAGGTTAGCAAGTAAACCAGCAGCAGCCATTTGTACATCATTATTGTCATCATTCTCAAGAAAACCAACTAAAGCTTCCAGTCTTCTGGGCCTGAAGAGGTATTCAACTACTCCTTCTGGTTCATGTTGAGAGAAAAGAAAGAGAAGATTTATGGCAGTCTCCCTGATTTCTGAGTCAGAATCATCAAGAAGGGGAAGGATTAGAGATACACCATTGGCTGCTAGAACTGCTTTCTTAACTAAATCTGTCTCAAACTTGCAAATGCCAAGAAGAGCGCGTAATGCAGGCTTACGGAAGTTGTGAGCTGAGTTAGGACTCTGCTGAAGAGCTAGCAAATTGGTGATTATGTTATCTAACTCGAGTTGTTTCCCTTCTCCATCAACAAAGAAATCAATTCCATCGTCATCCGAAGAAAGCTTCTCAAGGATTTCACAGCATTTAATGGTAATGAATGTCCACATCCTACGAGAGAACATTAAATCTAGAACAAGAGGCACACCCCCAGATGCAGCAATAATCCCCTTATTGGCATGAAATCCTGCTAGTTTAACCAGGGCTGATAACGACAATTCTTTTGATTCAATGCTACCAGATAGCATTTCTAGCAAAACTGGTATAACTCCTTGCTCGCCAAGGACTTTCAAGTTTAAATCTTTCAACTCCAAATTAACTATGACTTTTGCCATTGACATTCTTGAAGACTCCGATCCTTAGAAGACAAACAAAGACAATAAACTTAATTTGATCAATAAACTCGGTTAAAAGGATAGTAATCAATCAGGCATAACTGCTTTAATTGGTGCACGTTACACCAAATATTTGTAAGACACAAACTGGAAAAAAAAAAGACTACCCAACTTTGACTCTGTACACATAACAAAATAGTTGAATCACTATGGACCAAAAAAAGAAAGTATATGAACAATTAGCCCTAAATTTCTAGCAAGTCAATTTGTCATGGCAATATGGCATTTTAAGGAATTATTTTTTACCACTAAACTGATGATTTTTCTCGAAAGATGGGATGCGTCCTCTGGGACTTGGAATAGGAAGGAAGTATAATACAATTTCTGAAGATATAAGGATATTTATCATTGCATTTACCGAAGTTTCTAATGAACATCCATTTGTGTTTCCAAAAGAATTTAAAAGGAACAAGTTATCTAAAGAAGATATTTATATTTCCTCAGCTAGCTAGATAACATTGCATCCTGGTATATTCTGTCATTGCATTTCTAATAATACATTTAATATAATGAAATATATTTATTATATGAACTCACCATAATAAAGATAAACTAGAAAAGAATTCATCTTCTTACCTTGAATCATGCGATCAACAAGCGGTTTGTACCAGCCAAACTTAGCTGCACCAGAAATGTTTTCCTCTTCTATTTCAAAAAGCTCCATCAAAATCTTTTCTGCAACCCCAGCTGAATCGTTGGCAGGACCCTTTCGAAGGGTAACAAGGTAAAGAATAGCCCTAGGATGCTCAGAGAGTTTTTTGCAGAAACGTTTATTCCAACCAGATCGGTCTTGAAGCAATTCATATAGCAAATAAATTGCTTCCTTTGAAATTTTATAGTCACTCCCTAAGCAGGAAATGATGTGATCCCACCCTTGAGATTCAACCACTTTTTCCTATAAAATTTTATGCAAATGCTGAGTTTAAATTGGGATTCAAAATTGCAGGTATATAAAATAGAAATTTAAGATTTAGGAATAGATGTATCTCAATGGTAAAACTGTTCCACTTCCTATTCAGGAACAGAATGAGAGCAACTTCAACATAAAAATTGGTACACCATGGAGGCTGTGAACCAAAATGAACAACAAATAACTCCTTTTAAAATATTATGCTAAAGAAGATATAACCGATACAATATTCAAGGAAACACTCAGCACATTTATTGTGCTCAAGATTTTTCCATTCATTCCTCCAATTATGGGCTACATGTACTCTAGCTGGCAATAAGTAGTCTAATTGAAGCCATAAAGAACCATTTCAACTAAAAAGCTTAAGCTGTTAGGTGAGGGTCTTTTTAATGGTTTATACTATTCTTTAACATACCCCCTCACACGAGAGCCCACTGGGCTTGAAGGGTGGATGATGCATAAGGCTCAGTCTACCCGTGCTAAGAAATTCCACAAGAGAAAGTGGGGGGCGGTGAAAATCGAACCTGAGACACTAAGGCTCTAATATCATGTAAAGAACCATTTCAACCCAAAAACTTGAGCTGTTAGGTGAGGACCTTTTTAATGGTTTATACTATTCTCTAACAAAAGCAATCAAAAGATGATGTGAAGAAAACTAAAAGAAGTTTGCCTACACCTTGGTGCAGCATGTGTAAAATTGTTATCCTCAGTTCAAAGGAAAAATAAATCTTTTTTACCTTGTTTCTCGCATGCCCCTCTACCGCATCTTTCAAAGCAATCAAGATCTTTGTCTTCACATCTCCGGAAACAGATTTCCCAAGGATGGAGATAATAATATCAGTAAGCTCTCCTATAGAAATCCAATCCTTGTTAATAGAATTCTCTCTTATGAGAGCCTGCATTTGGCTCAGGGATTCTTGCAAAAACAAGTCAGAATTGGACAAGAGATTTTCCCTGATAGACCTTATACTACAGCAGTAATTAAGTTCTCTCCACTCTTCAATGGATTGTCTTAATGGAATGTTTGACCTCAAGCTAGTATCTTCAAGAACCTCTTTTGTATCTGGGTCAGTCCTGTTGCCATCATCAAACCAAGCTTCAATTGCGGATCTCTCACATGTAGTACCAGTGCAAAGGCTGACAGGATCTACCATAACAGCTCCAGTTATGCAACAAAGGAAAGAATTAAGTGGTAGGATATACTTTTCCCTTGAATCATATCGCTCTATTACCTGAACCCTTTCAAAGTATTGCTTCTTAACTTCTTCATAATCCCTCGCAGCATCGGCTCGTGAAAGTAGCTCAATGATCTGCTCTAAAAAGACAACTTCAGCTCTTTCTTTTCTGTTGGCAGCTTCTTCTTTTTCCCACCTAATGCTGGAAATCTCTTTGCTTATCTCTGAAGGCTCCACTGGAATCCCAACTGCCCTTGCTATTTCCTCAAGCATGTCATTTGCAAAAGCTTGATCTAGTTTCTGCTCCCTAATCCCATGGTTCAACTTCTCAACAATTTGAAGCTGAGATTGTGAAGCCCCAAACTCCACCCTTTGCATCTCACTTTGTAGTTTGTTGACCTGATCAGATATTCTTGACAAGACTTCAGTATTTGCAATAGATAGTGCAGCCAGAGACCTTCCAATATCCCTTGTGACTTGTTCAACCTCCGTAACTATGTATCGGCACTTCACCAGTAAGTAAAAACGGCCACGGTTCCTGTACTTCTCAACCAAATTGTTCGCCTTTTTGACATCTGATTCAAGAGACTCCAGAGCAACCCTTGCAGCTTGAGACTCATTCAGTTCCTGAAGCTGTAATTCCTTTAGGACTGGCGCAATATCAAGCAGGTGTTTTGAAAGGACCTTGAAACTTTCTTTATCAATAACAACATCCATTGCTGCATTAGCTGTTTTCAAGACCTGGCTGGTTAGAACAGCCAAAATTGTACCAATGGGTATGAGTTCCAATCCAACCATGGTACAAAGTCTGTTTTGAATTTTCTACTTAAACCAAGTAAATTGGATCCTGTCTATTCTAGAGGTTGGAGGTTGAAAACAGTAGACCAGAAAATCCCTTCTCTTTTTCCCTGCAATCAAATTCCTCTCAATCAATCCTCTAAAAGAGCACCAAAAACTTTTTTGCATCAGCCCATTAATTCTAGAACAAGCCATTTAACTGAAAGAAGAAAAGGGTTGAGACTAAAATAAAAACAGTTCAACTAGCAAATATCATTCCAAATATATCAGGAATATTTGTGATTTTAGTATTGAGGTCTTGTACTTTTTGCAGCAATCAGCTTTAAAAATCCAAAATCAACTCTAATATTCAATTCAGACTTACACATATAACGTAGACTGAAAATTGCAATTCACGCATACATTGGACATTAGGATGAATTCTTATCTCATTGATGGAAAATGAAAAATGTATAGCTTGAGTTTATAATTCATAACATCTCTACCTTTTCAAATAATATTCATCTGAATTTCACTTTTGGGTGCTGAACACTGCAAGCAATATAACAACAGAAATAAACTACTGACAGTTTAAGAAGAGATGAGAATCCTCAACAGAAACAAACAAAAAATTGTTTCTAAGTTGCAACAAGTATAACTTTAACATGGATAGGACAATAGTGTTCCCATTGCAAGGTGCACAGTAAATTGGAAAAAAAAGAAAGAGAAAAAAATAATTAAATAGACTTGGAAATCATGGCAAAAATCAACTAAATAAAGGAGAGACATTTTATTCATAAACGACCTTTCAAATAAAGATACAAATCTTTGAAGACATAAACAATGAACTGCAACAATTCTTTCTTTTCCAGTAAACCAAGTCTCAAGTCTTTCCCACTCCCTTAAAAACTGAATGAAACACAACACTCTTCCATTGATTACTGGGCATTCCATACTTCTTATATGTAAGGAAAGTAACCAAACATTAGCGCAAAAGTCACGTCGCTAGTAAATAGTAACAAAAATTCAACACGTATGTTCAATATTAATATAAGTCTCATTCAATTCAAAGTCTTCAAACAATCCCAATTAGACGGTAGGAAAAAAAAAACAATGAAGAGAGAGGGGTGAAGGTGAAGGTGAAGTTACCTCTCCGAAGTAAGTAGAAAAGAAGTTTCCCATCTCTTTTCTATATTTATTGGTCTTTAAGAAGGTCTATGGGGAGGGTAGAAACGACTTTAAGCAAGTCAATGTTTCCTGGGAAAATTCCAGGACATTTTCGTTGTCCAATAATTCTATCTTTCAAAAGACCAAGGGGGTGTTTCTTTCAAGTTTTTGAAGATAATTACCGGTAATCCTTCTTTGGTAAATGTAATCACCACGTTTGGTAGAAGGAATAAATTACGATTCCCGGATATCCAAGGATTACCGGTAATTTGATTTATAAAGAAAAGTCACTATTCAGATTACCAAAAATAATATGGTAATTCGGAATACCAATGAGAATATCAAGTAATGGGAAAACACAACAATAAATTTTGAGACAAAAATATCTCAATACACATAAAAATCTAGACTCAATCTATCAATTACAAAAGTAAAAATAGTTTGGGGTTATTTTTGTAAAATAACCTCATATTCCAAGTCATATTTCGTTTTAAACCAAATATGGAATCAGTAATTTTTACCCAATATTCTCGGTAATATTTTGGCGAACCAAATACCTCTTTCGTAAGATTCCAAGTAAACTCAATTTCTACTGTATTCCCATTAATCATGATTCTCAGTCATCAAAAAATTTCTCTTGTACCAAACACACCCTAAATGGTTAGGAAAAGTTAAGGGGTAGAGAAGAAAGCATAGAGAAGTTGCTGGAAAATTAAGTGCAGAGAGAGCCATGCCCAAGTTAGTACTAGAATCGGGATGGAAATAAAAAAATCATAAAACATAAGATCATAAAAACATAAAAGCATTTGTAATATTTGTAAAATCGTTTTGATAAAAAAAAATCATAAAAAATAAAATTATAATAATAAATCAAAATTTTAACTACTATAGCATGTCAATCAGTGACACAGAGAGACGCATTTTCTCATGTAGTACAGTTCACTGTAAGCTATGCAGTCGTTCATCAGTCCATGCAACGTGCAATTGACTAGTTGACTTTACAGTTTATTTCTTTGTCCGCAGGGAGTGAAGTTAATGTGCTCCCAGACCAAAAAGGTTTGGTGGGACTGGGGAGAGACAAAGAGAGAAAAAGTTGAGGAGAGAGGAGAGAAAAAAAAAAAAAAAAAAAATTTAATCCAAGTTTTAAATTTTAAGTGGAAAGACCATGGTGATCTTGGACCACAATAAAAAAACTCCGTCAGAAAATTTCATTGGAAAAAAACAAAAACCATTGAAAGAAGCTATCGTATCATTGTCACACCATATCCATTACAAGCACGTATTTTTTCCAGACCGTATGAATACTAAAGTCAAACAAACAAGACACAACATGAACCACCAATGTTAATAAGCCAGATCAAATTGTGTTGTATGTGTAAGACCATGCTTCTTGAAGAGATTGAAGATATGATGTGCGGAATCAACAAATGAACCTTATAACGACAATATCATCTCTTGTTTAGGGTGATTTTGATACATTTTTCAAGGATTTTCACCATAATAACATTAAAAGGGAAATATTTTTCCTAATCTAATGTGAAAAGACACACACAAGGGTATACGCATTCAAGTCACGCATCACCTTATGTACGACTTATGTAAAACCCAGCGTGCACCTGTCAAGTGTCATGCTTACAACTTGAATGGAAGTGATATGCATCTTGCATGGCGTAACATGTGATAGGTGTGCGATGCATGTCATACATGGGCATGATGTTCAACTTAAATGCGCCCACCCACATGGGCATATTTTCACATTAAATTAATAAATAATTTGCCAAAAAAATAATAAGAAAAGATGTTTTTTATTTTATATAGGTAAAAAAAAGCCAATTTTTTCACCCATCATGGTGATATTTTCCCATATCTTTGACTTTTCCTAATAAATAACGTCCATCTCTCAATCATAACATACGAATAAGGCTATAACTAGAGCCGACAAAACGGACTCGGCTCGACGAGCCAACCCGCCAAACGGGCGGGACAGACTGAGTTTTTTAACCCATCTCAAAAGCGGGACGAGACAGGCTCATTTTTTGGCAAATTGATAGCGGGCATAGACGAGCCGAGACGGGTCAGTGTAAAATAGACTCAGGCTGACGGACCAACCTAGGTCACCTAACCCGCCAAACGGGACAGAACAGACTGAGTTTTTCAACCCATTTTCAAAAGCGGAACGGGACGGGCTGGCTTATTTTTTGACAGGTTGATGACGGGGTGGGGCGAACCGCCCACTTTGCCACCTCTAGCTATAACCCAATAACAAAAAGCATTTTTTATTTTATTTTAATATACCAGCTAATTCAACTGGTAAATTCCTTTACAAAGTCCTTTGCAGTTGATTGTAAGGATCAAAAATCAAATCTCGCCTTTACACATGAACTTGATCTCTAAAGGGTTTCACAGGCCAAACTATATAAGGGGGAAGAAAAAAAAAATTCTTTTTATTCAGAGTAATTTATAATTTATCATTACACACAATAATAACACATTTAACTGTGTAATCAGTGATACTAGTAAATAACCCCTACGGCAAAACCAACCACAAGGAGCATCAGGTATTGTTCCTTTTACGAGCCAGCTCCCGCGCCATCTCCCGAAGTTCCTCGGGTGGTGGTGGCCTTGGTGCTTCTGGGGGATATTCAACGTATGACCTCTGTAACATGATAAAAAGAAAATATAAATCAGAAGACTAATAATAGATCAGAGCAACAATTTTAAAATAATAGCATTCATGCTGAAAATAATAAGAATTCCAAGCCATCAGGAAAATATATAATTGGGCTAACAGAAAGTATCCTGTAATAAAACTTCCACTAGTAATAGCTCTTCTTTGATAGTGTTATATACTACAAGAGAAAATGCTAAATGAAAATCTGAATCCACATAGTCAACCATTCTTGAAGTAAAGCAATAATAACCCTGTTATAGATAGTGACTCTTAATTTCCTACAAGCAGAGTGCTGCTGTAATAAATCAATGCATCACATCTTCAATCTTGTAATTCAAAATGAAGTCCCAAGACTTCAATTACCAATTAATATAATTGTGATACACTAACCGAAGAAAGCATCCAGAATTATGTCATTTATGCACCAACTACTTACACTCTGACCAATTCCCAATTTGCAAATTGCATTTTTGAAGTACATAACATGACCAAGATCTCTTGATATAAACATCCAATGAGATCTTCTTAGCATAGCAATGATTTAAAAGGTTGTAAAAAATTGAAGAATAACTAAGTAAAAAGATTATAAAGTCCTTAATCAACACCACTTCCTCGTTATGGAATTCATTGACACAAAAATTGTGAGCATTGACAAAGAGAAAGGCAAACACTTAATCCCAAGATCCGCTACACAGCTATAGCCACCAAAATGAGTATGGAATCCAAAAATAAAAAATAAAAATCCATATGGTAAATCTGAGTTTAGAAAGCTGAATATCTCCTCCTCTTAAATGTAAATGCCTTATCTAGGAGCAAACAAACTAACAAATTGTTTTTGGGACCATACATCATATTCAACTTTGATTCTACTTAAGTCCAGAACTAAACCCTGATCAACTCTACTCAAATATTAGTTATCCCTTCATTACATGCATATCAGAAACTAACCCTAAAATGGAATTTGCTCCCCTATGCTACAACCACACCCCAGAGAGTTCAGCTTGCTAGACTGTTATGAGGGGTTTTGTTTTATATTGCCAAATTAAAATAAGCGGTTATCAAAGCATTACCGCCATTGATTTATGCACAGTTCTGGCGAAAACATAACCCAAAACTTTATAACCTAAAATTATAAACCCGTCAAAACCCCTAATCAAACAGTTACATCACTTGAATAAACACAGAATCATGAAAAGTAAAAATCTATCATCCTAAACATAATTTTTTTTTAATTAACTTAAAAAAAGAAAAAACACAGAGAAGGGGAAGGAGATTTACATTCCCCATGAACTTCTGGATGTTCTTGGTATTGTTGGCGAAGGCGTACATAAGAACGATGGGGACAGTGACATACACTCCAAACTTGGCAATCTCTAGGATCCCCTTCGAAGTGCCCAAAGATGACATTTTTTCCCGGAAAATTAAAACCTATGAGAAAATTGGCAAGAAATTGGAGAGTTTAGCAACTTGTGATGGAATGGAAGGCTGCGTAGAATGCAATGGAAGAAGACATTGTGAATTAAACGGGCTGGGCTCCATCATATGGCCCAGTTAAAAAATTCGCATTTTTCTCTTTTTTATTTTATATATATATATATATATATATATATGAACAAATGTGTGTCGTTTTAAAGGAGGTAAAGTTGTGTTATTTTAAGAGAAAGAAAGAGATAGATAAAAGAGGAGAGAGTTGACGAAAAAATAAAAGTGTGGGTCTCACCTCTTTGTGAGGATGAAAGGATGTAAGTTGTGTCATTTAAAAGGATAAACACTTTTCTCATATATATATATGGGAAAAGTGTGTATCATTTCGAAGGATATAAAGTTGTGTCATTTTAAGTGAGAGAAAGAAATAGATAAAGGAGGAGAGGGTGGACAAAAAAGTATAAAGGTGTGGGTCTCATCTATTTGTGAGAGTGAAATGACACATGTTGTGTCATTTAAAAGGACAAACATTTTTCTCAATATATATATATATATATATATATATATATATATATATATATATATATATATGTTCGCTTTTTCTGCAGTCTCCACAGATAAATTATCTGTAGTAAGCCTAATACGATGTCGTTTTGGGTAGAAATCGTGGTGTTTTTGTAATTTTAATTTATTTCAGGGTTACAATAGTTTTTATAATTATAATTTTTTAATCTTTCAATCTCAAAACGACGTCGTTTTGAGAGTAAATGCAGATAAATTACTTACAGTATCTGCAAAAATATTTCTATATATATATAAAAGGAGGGCTAAAGCCCAAGACCTATGAAACTAACTTTTTGTTATTTTTATTAGCTTTTTTCATTTCACTTTGTTTTTTGAAATTTTTTTTTTAGTTTTTCCTTTTTAATTTTATATATTTTTTAGTTTATAAAAGGGAAAAATGTTTATGCAGTTATTGCAGATAAGTTATCTGCATTTTTTCCAAAACGACGTCGTTTTGGTATTGAAATCTTAAAAATTTATAAATATAAAGACTATTATAACCCTAAAATAAATTAAAATTACAAAAACACCATGATTTTCGCCCCAAAATGACGTCGTATTGGACTTACTGTAGATAATTTATCTGCAGTAATTGCAGAAAACGCGAACCCTTTCTAAAATTGTATTTTTTTCTTTTTTAAGTCTTTGAATTCTAGCGAGTTGACAAAGACATGGATTAAAAAATAAACTAGACGTGAATTCAAATTATGTAGATCTTTTCCAAATCACTAGCCCAACTAATGGGATATATCTTTGGTGCTATAGGAGTATATACTCTTTACTAAACGTAGAAAATTTTAGGGGTTTAGGGGGGAACCATACAAGGATGGGTAAAATGGGAAAGACAAATATATTACTTTTTTCGTATTTAGTCAAAGTTGCACTGAGTCTTCAGTACTTACGTAGTATAAAAGATATTTTCCAACTAATGACCCAATGAACTACACCTCTAACTAGCTCAATATTGAGTCTAAATAATACAATTATGCTTTGCACGTAAGACTCTTTTCTGGTTTCCCTTACACGTTCATCACGGTTTCTCCACATGATTGCCTCGTTCCTTTCCTTGGATCAGTGGATTTGCTTACACGTGCATAAAATCCCCAAAAATATCAATCTCCCTACTTGCTTTGCATATCTGCCTTGGACCACCGAACCATATGCACCAGCAAATCCCGTTGCTTGCACGATCCACGTTGCTACTTTGTCCTTTGCAATGATGAAGGCCTATTTCATTAGCTCCATACTGGATGTCTCCACCTTAGTTAGCGGAATTGAAGAAGCATATTGAAAATCTTTCGGCGAAGAATTTCATCCGACCTAGTTTGTCTCCATGGGGAGCACCAGTCATCTTTGTCAAGAAGAAAGATGGGAGCATGCTATTGTGCACCGACTACAGACAGTTGAACAATGTGACAATCAAGAATAAGTATCCCCTCCCACGTATTGATGATCTATTGGATCAACTCAGGGGTGCTTGTGTGTACTCGAAGATTGATCTTCGGTCCGGATATCATCATATCCGGGTTAAGCTGGAGGATATTCCGAAAACCGCGTTTCATTCGAGATACGGTCATTATGAGTATTTGGTGATCCCGTTTGGACTCACCAATGCACTAGCAATATTCATGGATTACATGAACCGTATTTTCTAGCCGTACTTGGATCATTTTGTCATTGTCTTCATTGACGATATATTGATTTACTCCAAGAGCGAAGAGGAGCATTTGAGGATTATACTGCAGATACTGAAGGAGAAGAAACTTTATGCAAAGCCTTCAAAGTGTGAGTTTTGCCTCAATTCAGTGAAATTTATTGAGGGATTCTCCAAGATGGTGTTTCCACTTACTCGCCTTACCTGAAAGGAGACTCCATTTGTGTGGACTCACGAGTGTGAGGAATGCTTCCAGGAGTTAAAGGAAAGATTGACAATTGCGCCAGTGTTGATCCTTCCTGATCCTGTAGAGCAGTTTGAGCTTTATTGTGATGCCTCTAAGAAGGGGCTAGGTTGTGTGTTGATGCAGACTTGCAGAGATGTTGCTTATGTTTCGAGGCAGTTAAAGCCTCATGAGGAGAACTACCCGACTCATAATTTGGAGTTGGCTGCTATTGTTTTTGCCTTTAAAATTTAGAGGCATTACCTATATGGAATGAAGTTTGCGGTATTCAGCGATCATAAGAGCTTGAAATATCTTTTTGACCAGAAGGAGCTGAATATGAGGCAGAGAAGATGGATGGAATTTCTTAAGGACTACGACTTTGAGTTGAAGTACCACCCAGGCAAGGCCAATGTGGTAGCAAGCTTTGAGTCAGAAATCCGTGAGTCTATCCAGTTTGATGATTAATGATTTTGATGTAATTGAAAAATTTCGAGACTTGACAGTGACCTCTTTGTTTGCAGGTGCACTTCTGGATACGAAAACCGTGAGAGTTGAAAATGAGTTAATGGACAAGCTCAAAGAGGCACAGGTGCAAAGAGAATGCCTTGACTATGTGAAGAACCAAGATAGTGTGTCTTGGAACGATGAAGGAATATTAATGTTTCAGAAAAGGATTGTGGTACGTAGGGGTCCATTGACGGAGGAGGTGATGGCAGAGGCTCATAAGGGCCAATTCACTATCCACCATAGGCCTACAATGATGTACCAGGATTTGAGGAGGAACTTATGAAGAAAGATATAGCAGTTTATGTGTCCAAGTGTTTAATATGCCAGAAAGTGAAGATTGAGCACCATAAACCATCAGGTAAGCTTCAACCTCTTGAGATTCCGCAGTGGAAGTGGGAGAGCATTTCCATGGACGTCGTGATGGGATTGCCTAAGACTCAGGCTATTTGTGACTCCATTTGGGTCATTGTGGATAGATTGACTAAGTCTGCCCATTTTCTTCCAGTGAAGGTGAGCTTCTCTATAGAGCAGTTGGCCAAGATATAAGTTCGCGAGATTGTGAGGCTTAATTGTTAGAATATGGATGTCCTAGAGACAATCTTTTGATTAGATTAGGACATATGTGGACCTTTTATATTGTTGCAAATAAATAAAAGCACTTTTTATCCTGTTTCATATTTTGTCTCAATATTATTGTTAATATTTTATATGAGTAACTGGATAAACCCCTTGGAATAGAACATATATCTCTTGAGTATCTGTGATGAGATCACGATCATGAGGATTCAAGGATACCGCACGTTTATTCCTAATTTTATGTTCCTAGTCTATAGACACTAAGAATGGGGATCACTGATCTTGGGTAAGACTAGCACGACTTATCTACTTGTATTTGGATACAAGGTAAAGACCTCATGTGCTACAGATATGGAGATATCTTAGCTAAAGTCGTGGGTGGACCTATAACGATATAGCTCGCATTGAACAGACCCACAAAGAGACTCTATGAGGAAATCTCACAGATAGTATCATTAGAGTAGTCTCTTTATATTTGGGTATGTCTTTCCTTAGACCAGAAGTTATTACCTAGACTGTGTCTAGAAGGCATGCTTTGATTGTATACCTCGTCTGCCTGAAACATGGAGACTCATAGGTACACTGTTCGGCTTGTCCTGAAAGAGCATAGGGCTAGGGTGATAAGCTGAAGGAATTCGTCAAATCTCTGTGAGAGATTAGGTTATCTGTAAACCGGAGAAATCGGGATGACATTTACAGGGACTCGGGAATCTATGCATAGTAAAAGAGATCATGAGATGATCTGCCTTTAGAGTCAGTAAATTGAAGACTCTCTATTTCGAATAAAGCTTACCCTAAACAGCAAGGGTTGATACGTTTCCTTACCCTAGGTTTAATGGGAAGGTAACCGAGACGAAAGGAAATATATACGGCAACCAAATATATGTAATAGGATGATCAAGTCATTAATCTAACTAGCTCTGGGGCAAAAAAGCATTGCTAGTGCTCTGTGTTGTCATTAAAAGGGTTGTGGGCTTATTGGGCTCAAGCCCATTTATGTCAGTGGCTATGTTGGACCTAATGGGTCACACACACTAACACCTTATTGTCATGATGATCTAGCATTATAGGTATTGGGCCTAATAATGATTGTTAGCCCAAGATGAAGTTTGGAAGCCCACCTAAGAGGGAGAGGGCGCATGGTATGGTTAATGGGCTTGGATGGTCCAAGACATTACTAATTAATTTAATTGGTTAAATTAATTATCAAATATTTAAATTTTGAATTTTGAATTTTGAATTTGAATTTTGAAATTTGAAATTTGAATTTGAATTTGAATTTTGAAATTTGAATTTTGAAATTTGAATTTAGAATTTAAATATTTGAACATTTGAATTTAAGTGTTTGAATTCGAATTTGAATTGGCTATGAAAAGTTGTTTCATAACAAAAGGATAAGATGGGATCTTGTTGGAACAAATTCCTTGTAGCAAGAGAAGATCTATGGAGATCTCCAAAGGCTGATTTGGGGCGCCACTTTGGTTGGAGATGAGTGTCATCTTTTTCAAACAAACAAGCTCCAATCAGATTTGGTT